AAAGAAGAAAAAATGCATAGCGCGACATGGTGAAATGGTTAATTGCACAAATTCGTTCAATTAATCCATTCAATTAATTAACCTCGCCAAGTACATCTAAATTCATTTAATCGAACCTCTTAAATTAATTCACTCAATTAATTAAACTAATATATCCTATTGCCAAGCAATTAATTCAATCAATTAATCGAACTTGTTCCAGTGCTTCCCCTTCTTGCCAAACCTGGCCAACCAATACTCCGGGTCCCACGGACATATACCACAACTTGATCGCAGAAAGGCCATGGATATTTCGCTGAAATGCAGCATAAGAACAACATTGTCTGTTGGACGCTTCTTTTTTTTTTTTTTTTTTTGTTTTGGTCAGTCACCTGACAGGTTTTTTTTTAAAAAAAATAATGCTGTTAGGTGCCGGCCTGTGGCAGGCACCCATGTGGCTTTTTTAAAAAAAAAAATTTTGGGTGTCAGGTGCCGGGCTGTGTCACCCCGGCACCCATAGTTTTATACACCCCCTCTGTCAGATTCGTAAGTGTCTGACTTTTTTTTTAACAGCAATATTCTAATCAATTAGCCGGAAATAGATGAATAAGATTTTTTGATGTTTGGATTGGTTTTTGAGCAGGGATTAAGGTCTAGTTGTTCTTTGTCAACCATCCAAAAATGGGCAAAAATGAAGACATCAAAATTAATAAAAATTTTAATTTTTTTTAAAAAATCTATTATATGTTATAAATTAATTTTTTAAATTATGGATAAAGACATAACTAATGTGTGATAGTTATCCTTCCTTTTCTTCCACATTCCAAAAAAGATGGATGGACTCTAATTTCCTCTGCTTTGCTTTCTTTTATTTTTCATTAGAGTAAATTATCCCAATAGCCACTAAACTTTTCAATTAGTTGAGTTTTGGCTACTCAATTTTTAAATGTACCTTTTTACCTACTCAACCATCAAAAATATAAATTCGGACCATTTTGTCTATTTCCACTCTCAACTCTAGTAAATCTAAGGTCTTGCACAAGTCAAAAGACATAATCGAGAGGCAATTTAGGAAGCACAGAATTGTATTACAACAATTTCTTCTCAAATGAATCTTCTTCTTCTCTAAACCCAAAAAACAAATGGTGAGATAAGAAAGAAAAGGAATCAGCAGGAATGAATGGAGGAATCAGCATCAAAAGGAGGTTGTGACGATTAAGATTCTGATCATCCAGAAGGATGGATTAGGTGATTAGAGCGTAGAGAAAGAGGCTAGCACTTTGATCCATATCGAGTGTACAGTATGTTCTTGAAAAACCCTCCGTTACGATCCCAAAAAAAAAAAACCCTGAGTGTAATATTAAATGTACTTTTACTTAAAAACCAAAAAAGAAAAAAGCTCCTTTTTTCACTTAAGAAAGCTTGAGCTTTTCCTTATCATCGGGAGCGTTCTGCAATTCATCTTCCTCTTTCAATTGCTGGTAAATTTGCTTCCAAACCAACAATAAAGAAGTTTAAGTTTATTTACGGACTAAATTAGTAAATCCAATAACATTTTCTGGGATCCTTCTTTGACGTACTTGATTTCTGGTTTCTTGTCAGCTACCCTTGATACTCCATTTTTTTTTCTCTCTTTTAGATATATCTAATGCTTGATGAAGGCCATGTTATACGTACACCTGAAGATGTGGGAAATTTTAGGTTTTTGTAGTCAAATGGAATTTGAATTATGGGGTATCAGTTAATCAGCTTAATATAGAATGCAGTATCTACTTGCGTCCTTCCTACGTGAGAGAGAGAGATGAAATTTTTGAGATGAGTATGGATGATAATTTACTGATTCCTTGAAAAAGGCATGTACTTTGAAGTGAAGAAATGGAGTGAATCCGGTTGAGTTTCTACTCTTCTTGAAAGAAGTGACTGCTTCTCCAGTTTTCCATTATTCAACTTATTAAACTTGAAGAGCTTTTGCCTCTTACCTTCAAATCTTCTTCAATCAAGACTTTCTAGTGCTCCTCTTCTTTGACCTCCAAACACTTAAAAAGGTTTAAATATATCCTGGCCTCTGGGAACCCTTTGCAATATTCCATATTGTTGACGTAATGGCTGACTTCTATTAATGAAGTATCCCAAACACATTGTCTTGGACTAATCTCATTACAGAACATTTCATTTTGCCACTAAACGTTCTTTTTTTTTTTTGGTTTTGATCGGGTTTTGATCCATATGTACCGTTGTTTTCGTTTACGTGCTTCCTAAACTATCCCTCTGTTATGTCTCTTGACGGCAAAAATAGACAGAATAATCCTGAATTTATACTTCTGATAGTTAAGTAAATAAAAACATACATTTAAAAGTTGAGTGATCAAAACTCAACTAACAAAAAATTTAATAACTACTGAGGTAATCTACTCTTTTCGTTAAAGTCCTCTCCTTTCCTTTCTTTCCCTTCCCTTTCCTTCAATTGAAGCAGTGCCTAAAGGACATAGTGAAAACAAGGGAAATGATATTCCTTCTGATTGATTTAATAACAAAATTTGCCCCACATTTATATCAAGTTATCAACACTATCATCATTATCTTCTTCATCTCTACTGTCTCTTTCAACCAACGACCTGACCCTCTTGTCACCATCTTCGCCTCCCAACGATATATTGAAAAAACTACAAAATCCCAAATCCAATCCACTTATCTACCCCCCCCCCCCAAATTCTACGCAAATTGCTACCTTTATATATATGAGAATTCTGTAAGCCTAATTTGTTTTTGTCTTCAATATCAAAGGAAGGGAATTTTGAAAGGATAATTTTTTTATATACTGTCAGTGTATAATTTATTTTATAGTAACTGGTTTAAACTATGTCACATAATATGACATGTGATATACATTTAAAGTTGCTAGTGTAAAAAAATTACTATATTATTAACGCATAAAAAAGTAATCGATTTTTAAAAATCATGATTTACATTTTCATTGGCAGTTCAAGAAACTATAGAAAAAGTAATTATTAGATCTACAATTTAAGTGGTACTCAATTTTAGAATGAAATTGACTACTTCACTCATTCAAGGATGGGAGAGCAAGTTAGAAATTTTTGAATGGTTTAGAATTGCAATATGTTGCAGATTAATTTTTTATTTCGTCATAGGTTCTCAATTTAGTGTAAAATCAACCATAATAATTGTACTAGGACATTTCTATGCAATTAGAACTACATATAAAATTCAGAACCTCTCTTTTTTTTTTAAATTAGGGTAGGTAAAAACAGTCACTTGCAAAACGCAAATTCCAATATGGGTCATTAATTTGAGAACCGGTGAATACATACACATACACACTTATCAAATTACCTGTCACCCATCAAAAACCCTTAATTAATACCAAATCCTAACGAATTACTCATCAATCCTCAGATCGAATTAACCATCGGATCGATTACCAGCTGGTATTGAATTTTATCCTATCCGCTGCCATCCGTACATAGCCCTACTCCCCACTCTTAATTAAGCAGGCACAACTCATCTCAGGCTCGCCTCGCAATAAAAAAAAAATTGACAATAGCGATAAAGGGATAATTTCAGAAATAGGTCCTGAAATTTACAACATTTGCAGATGGTGCCTTTCGTGTCCTGAGGAATATCAAGGTTCGGGTATTCGTTTCATATTTCCTTCACCATTAATCCTCCCTAATGCACATCTTTTTTCAAAGATTTTCTTGGTATGTATCATATCATCTACTATACTGGAAATGTCAATAACCCAACCTGCGATACCTCTGTCATGTTACTCAACTTTACCTTCTTTCTGGAATCTCACTCTTATCTAAGAGCCAATTTGTGCTTTCAACTGGTTCAACGTGCTTTATTCTGTGTATATGGTTCTCTTCAGAGGCTGAGGTACTCCTAAGAAAAGGGATTGGTGATAAGACAATACACTTAAAGAAGAAACTAAAGATCAGTGTTTAGGTTACATTTATTGGACTCAAACTCTAGATTAGGTGGGATTTCTTGAAATAAGAGATCAAAGGCATAACTAAAATGAAAACAAATTAAGGTATTAAAATTATATGACTGCTTTCATTTTGTTTTTTTTTTTTTTGGGTAAGCTTTAAGTTGCATTTCATCCTCTTTTAAGTTCTGTTTATCGCCACTTTGCCATCATGACTAAGAGCCAAAATTCATGGTAAGATGTTTCATATGAGATTATGACTAATGATTTCCGTACCATGCATGGTCCAATTTCTTTCTTTTCCACCTTTTTTGTTTGTCAAGTCTATATGCCGACACATATATCCTTCATTGGCACCACAAAATTTCAAATTAACCTCACTTTTTTGTTCTAATTTATCATAGTTTGTGTGACTGTTGTTGAAAACTTTTCGTAGTTTATTAACCGAATGCTGTTGACCATGCATGGTATATGTTAAACGTATATCACTATTTACTTTCAACAAATCTACACCACATTTTTAATGCAAAAAGAAAATTACTGCTTGATTAACTTAAAATACATACATACATACATACATCCCTAAACCAGAATGAATATAGAGAATGAAGGAAAGCAAATAAAAAAAATGCGGCCCGCCATGAGGGTTTAGCGTAATCAAACCCATTAGTTGTTCTGCTTTTGTAAGAACATAAATGATTTACTGTCTTAATGATTCGGAAAGTTGAAACTCCAGACGTCCAGGAAAGTTGTCTCTGTCCGGAAGATGTACACAAAGATTCAAAACTACCATCATAATATTGGACTTCAAATTTCAAAATACCGCCCTTTAATCACGGAGGAAAATCTTCTTCCCTACCTGGCAAAACTAGTCCCCGATAAGGAGCCTTGTCTTACATATTAATTGTGACAACATCAAACGTTTTTCTCTCTTTGTATTTTAGGATGGCAAACCATAACAATATCTATAAAAAAAATGAAGAAGAAAGGAAAAGACCATTACAATAATCATTCTTCATACCTTAATAAGATATTGCATGGATTTATATTCATGTGCACGTTAATACATGAGTTTGGTAAATGAAAATTCTATTCCAAAGTTTTACTACGAGTAAGAAACGAAGTAAGTGTGACATTTTTAATATGCAATGCTATACATGGAAACTAATAAGATCTTAATATATATCCAATACTGATATGTGATAAAAATGCTCCCCACAAATACAATGTATTTATTTCTATAATTCTTCCTCTAAAATAGCCCAAAGCCAGCCCACTCGGCATCGTTCACCGGCCGGGGTGATGACCGGCGGGATGAAAATGAAGAAGAAAATGGAGAATCCCAGAAAGGAGACATGGACGCTCTACTTGAAACTGACCAAGGGGACAACTTTCCAAGATCCGAAGCACTGTCAGGTTCGGACTTGGACTCAGGTCGGACCTTAAGCTTGTGCTGCTTCTTTGTTTTCTTTCTATCATTCTTCATGCTGATGAGAAAAGGAGATGTTGGAAAGCATCCACTGGATAATACATTCTCGGGTTGTGCGAGAGTGGAGTTGTTGAAATGGTACCGCTCCGAACGGGTTCGAGAAGGGGACGGAAAGGATCGGGTACGGGGCTCCGCCTGAAAGCAGAATCCGGCAGGTGGAGGTGCAAGTTTTGTTGGAGTGTCAGGCAATGCACCATAATCTGAAGTATTGTTTGCTGCCTCCTTTAGTTGTTCCTGCAGCTGCTGTCTGAGAACAAATGAAGGACTGCAATGAAAAGATCTTCTTTTTTGTTCATATTGTTCGGGTTGTTGGAGTTGGGCCTTTGGAAGTCCGGGTCGGACCTCCCACTTGAATGGAACAGCCCCTGGCTTCTTAAATGAATCATCCACCACTGCCATACTACCCAAAAAAGTGATTGTGAAAATTCCCTTTTTTTTTCTTTCTCATGTGCTGAGTGTTGAACTCTATTTATATAGATGGAGTTAGATTGGGGAAGGATAAGGGTCATGGTCATCATGATAGGCATAGTCTTGGCTTGATTAAAGGCGTTGGAGGTGGGGTTGGTGGACCTTTAGGGTATACAATTTTAATTACCAATTTGCATTTGCTTATATACCATGCATGGACTTTTCAGTAGATCGGTAGGTGATTAATCCTTTGTTTGTTTGTTTCTTTTCCCTATTCTTGATTGATGATCATATGAAGGTGACGTGGTGAACCATGTGCTTGTGTTTTTTCTTTATTTGATTTTGAGTGACAACAGAAAATGTATGCTTGGATAAGCATGTGTCCAAGAATAACTTAGGATTGCAATTTTTTGAAATTTTTGTAGAAAATATATTATAACGATTTGACATATGTGAGGTAAAAAAGTGATTGGAAAACGTGTTCACAAAAAACGTAAAGATTTTTTTGGTAGAAAATCCCTTTCCAAACACGGTAACTTCTCAAATTATCACCTTAGTAAGGACTATGAAGAAGGCAAGGATGATTTATCTGGACAAACGTGTCGCATATGGAATAAAGAATAAGTCATTTTTTAGTGATTTTGCATTATTTTGTTGAACATGTCAGTCAGTATACTAGTATTTTCCTTCTTGACTGGTAAAATGCTTCTTTGTGGAAAAAAGGGAAGATCCATGATGGCAAAGTCAAGGTGCTTAGGAAATATGCTTGATTGTTTTAGATTGCATCACCTCATACTTGGAAATAAAATGATTTAAAAAATGCATGTACTCAAGCTTTGTCTCAAGTCACATACACACCTTCATCTATACAGGAGTTATCAATGCCGTATTCACCGCTATGTCTACGTCTACAAAGAGTAATTTGAGCTATTCCAATTTCAAATGATGTAATTAATTCCACTTTGTATCCTTTAATTATATCCAAATTTTCGCTCTGGTTCTTAAACTTTAAAATGGGACACTTTAAGTCCCTAAATTATAAAACTTGTTATACTTTCATCCTTGAAATATAGAACTTATCCATTTTAATCTCCAAAGTGTGAAACTTATTCGAATTTAGTCTCCAAAATATATCCACTTAGACATAAAATCTATCTCATCTTCCTTAATGAGTGGGACAAATTTTACAGTTTAGGAACTAAAGTGTGTCAGTTTTAAATTTAAGGACTAAATTGGAAATTTATGTATAGTTGAAGGGTGCAAAGTGGAATTAACCCTAATTTATATCCCTAAATTGCACCTCAAATTCATTTAGGTAATGACAAGGAACTAAATATGCAGAACTGTGAGTACATCGAATCATCATTACTTTACCATAGGGCAAATATTTCGCATATGAGAGAGAGAGAGAGAGAGAGAGAGAGAGATTCCAATTTTGTGGCAGCTAAAGAAAAATAGTAAATAATTGCTAGAAAAGATCTATCCACCTAAAATTAGGTGGGTGTCATGGGTAAATTCCAATTGCAAAGTTTGAAATTTGGAATGTTAGTAGAATAGTATCAAGGATGAAAAAGGACAAATAATGGAACTTCGTATTGTTGTCTCAATTAGTACGTCCGTTAATGGTCCCTCGGCATGGTGATTGAATTAAACGGTGCTTAGATTTGAATAAAACTCACAAAGTCAACTAATATCATAAGCATGGAACCGCATGGATATCCCAGCGGACTAGAGGAATGGGAAATGTATAGTTGAAAGACCTTTGTACCTAACAAGTTAGACTAACAGAATTTGCACAGTTCTATTCAAAGTTTTCCTATCAGTTGCAAAAATTTTACCATAAATTAATTGTTCAGGAATTTCATCTCAAGTGGAGGAGAAATGAAGGGATATTTTTCGATATTTGAGAGTTCAGAAGGCAATATATGGACGGAGAATCATTCTAGAAGAGGCCAAAAATGCATTTCACCAGATAAATGAAAGCCGAATTTACCTTTACCTGTTGATTGAATATAAAATGCTTAACCGTGTTTTCCTTCCTTTAAAGACCATCTACTGATCAAACAGTTCTTGGACCAAACATATAGAAAAAAGAAAAATCAATTTAGCAGCAATATGAGCTATTTTTAATCCTTTAAATATTGCAACTCAGGACCACCAAAGGCCAAGACATTTTTTTTGGTTCAGTCCTGCATGTGGGAACTGTCAAGGGTTAGCTTTCACATATCACAATGACTAACATGACGACTGGAAACATTTTGGACCTTGCAAAATTTTGGATAATGCACAAGAGTATTAAAGAGGACTATATTAAGCAAGCCATAGGGTTACAGATAACAAAGAGCAGCAAAACCATCATTAGTAAAGTTAATGACACCAAATATTTTAGACAAAAACTGGAAAACAGAAAAGGGCACCACATAATTTAAAATGAGCCTAGCAGATCGAAATGTCTTAGCCATCTAATTCTCATACCTAACTCTCATAACATAATTCTTGTGGCAGGTTACAAAGTGCTTGCATCGTTTTGCTGGCCACATCCAGCAGCTGCAAATATTCATCTGCTCCATCAACAAGACACTGAAAAACCCACCAGACAAAACATGAGTACGAGTCAAAACTTGTACATGTTCCAGTGTCAACTCAGAGCAAAAGGAAAGGGGCCAAGTCAAAGAGCCAAAGTTATGGAATTGTGTATTGAGTTATGGTTGGTTCTATTGTGGGGAAAGTTGATACTATAAGCAAAATCAAGAAATCAGTGATACAAGCCCCATGCAAACAATATTCCGGTAAATTGCTCACTAACAATGAAAAGCATATTCGACATGCACAGTTCCATATTAAGGCTACCAATACTGCACTCTCAGGTCAATAGTCCATAAAACCAGCAAGAAAGTTAGAGAATTCCACAAGTTTCTGCATATGAAACTGAAACTGAAACTCAAATCCTGGAAATTGTACGAGGAGTCCAAGTAATTGGTCAAGGTATATTCCTTAATACTGTTCTATATAAATCCAGACAAACACTTGAGCATTTTGAAAATTTTGAATTCACTGATATGCAGAAACACCTTATCTGCTTCACCCAATTTCTTGCATATTCTTGCCTTCTGTTCATCTGATATGTCATCTGCCTCAACAACTAAATCAAACAACTGGAAGAAGCATCACATCAGTATCTAACAAGTAAAAATAATTGGTGTAGATTTTGCTGCATGCAAATAAAATGGCACCTGAGATAGCATCTGAGAAACTGGATATCCTTCAGCTATTACATTCTTGACTTCCTTGTCTGCAAGGTCAAAATTACCACTTCTGCAAGCTGAATAGAGAGCCTGAACAACATCCTCAGGAATAACCTGAATATTTGCCAGACAAAAGGGTCAAGCATGTAGCAGGCACCATAGACCACAGTAGAGAACTCTGAACGAAGAAACAGTAATCCGATATTTCTCCAATCTAAATTCAATGATGAAGAGTACAGTAAGCAGGACTTTGATCAAATTGTCCTTCCTTTTTCCATCATTCTCCAAGGCCCTGCATGCTCTCTCTTTTTTGGGGTATTTGGGATGGGGTTAAACTCTACAGGATGTACCTTATAACCAGAATCACAATTTCCACAAGAAAATATCCTTCTCCGACATCAAGGAGACACAAAAGATCCTAAAAGCGTGTCATACAGATTATTGCAATAAAAATGCTAATTCTAGGCAAAATCTAAAGACAAGCATTACTAGACTAATCACAATAGCCCTTAGAGAGCAATTAAAATTTATAGGAAGCTTAATGGGGAAAAGAAGGCCCTTGAAAATTTAACCATGCGAACGACAACTTCACATTTCCTATTTGCCACAATAAAAAAGAAAGAAAGATCTAAAATCAAGCCATCGCTCAAGCTCATGCTGAACTTTGGCCATTTTACAATAATGGCATGAAAGTTACATGTAACAAAGCTAACTCCATATAGGTGGAATCTTGTAAAGCAATTCAATTTCAAAGAAAATGGATAAAAGATTTTGACAAAGCAGTGCCTTGAAGTTTTCTTTCAAATTTTGGAGATCATATAGATGCTTGTTGAGCATGTTAAATAGTGGTATCAACATCTCCTATAACTTACTTCCAACCACCTTACAATTCTCAACTTATAGGTTTTAAAGTCGAAGCTATTTTTTGGGTTGGTGTCTTGCAAAATCCAACTTACAGCTGGGTAGTTATTGTTTCTGGAGACTGTTAATAACATTAGGTTGACACCTCAAACTTTATTACATGCTTCTTTTGGACATTTTCCAACACCACCCATTTCAAATGCTTAAAGAGCAGATGATATTCTCATGTTCCTTGCCAAAGGCCCCAGAAAATTGGAAGTTAGAATCCCCTTTCTCCCTTCTGCATCAGTAAAGGCCAAAAGGACATTCCACAGCCTCCACCAAACCATCAGGACAGGCAATCACATGTACAAGACTACCAAACAATCATAATCGTATATCCATGATTTAACAACACATACTCAGTTGACAGGGTCTGCATATAAATAATGAATATTAAAAATTTTACCTCCTAAGAAAAAAGTCAAGCAAACGTCAATGACAATCAATGTGTCTTTCATAGTACTCAATGTGTCTTGTCAAGGACAGAAGACAACTCTAACAAAGCTTTCAACCATGCATCTGAGAACAGAAGGGTACATATTGCCCTAGTACAATGCAGCACAAACTAAAGCGCACTAGACAACATGTGAAAGATAAGAGATGTAAGATTTATCAGGATTAGAAGACAAAAAAGAAGACAGATTTTAGGATTAAAAGCCAGAACCAGATAAGTTAGATGACTCATGCACTGTAAAAATATGCAACATAAGAAATCAGCCTTAGCAAACGAAAAATTAGTTGTTGTAGCCACTCAACAAGAAAACTAAAGAAATATTAAAGCCCTCAGACACATTAAAATCTGAAACCAATTCTCTCTTTCCTTTTCAAAGACACTATTAGAACAAACACTTGACAAGTCTATAGTAACCAACTTACCCCAGAAACACTAATTAAGTCTCTGGATGAAATAGAAGATCCAAACAAGCGAGCAGCACTCTGCAACAATCCAAAACAAAAGAACAAGCCCATTACAAATGGAAGCTGATTTCAGTAAAAACATGGCAGATATAAGCCATTGGCCAAAAGAATCACGATTATCACGATTGTAATCCCCATTAGGTAAGAAAGATGGAAAATCTCGAAAGAACATGAGAAAACCTTCAGTTAAAATAATGAAAGAAATATATTAATTATGAATAAAAAACATATTCAGCAGGAGTAAAATCCAAAATTGGAAAATGCTACATATAATTTTTCTAAGTGCATGTAAGTAACTTTAAAGAAGCTAAAAAAATAGAAATTGAATAGTAAATGGTACTTCCATATACAAGGGGAGAATAGGAAGAACAGGAAAAGGCTGAAAACAAGAAAATTTAGGAAAAGAAAAACATGTTTGAGCAGAACATACTGGTATAGCAAAATAAGAAAAATAAGTAACACAAGCCCCAGGTTATGGGCTGATGCAATCTATTAATATGTTTGACCTTTTACAGTAACGGATCTCCACTTCCTCATCAGTGTGACATCGCTCTATAGCAACCTCACATATCACCCACAAATTGAACTTCAAAAATGCACATTGATTTAGCAATCTACCAGTCTCAAAGTTTTCATTTGGGGCATTACTAGTTTTCTGGCACTGAGAATACAGCGCTGCTGAGTACCAATGCATCCATACATGGTAATTCATGTTCATTGTTAAGAATGAACCCACCTGTAAGTATGTTATAGCCCTACGGAGATCTCCTTGTGATATAGAACTTAATGTTGCAAGAGCCTGCAGTCAGAACCAGTTCATAATTCAATAAGATAAATTCAAGGAAAATACAAGAATTTACTTTATGCATAAGCAGGGAAAGTTTATAAACAGCATTGCATGACTAAACCCTCACATCTGAATCAAGACTAAGGCCTTCCTCTTGGCAAATGTAGAGGATTCTGTTGCTCATAATATCTTCCGTTAGTGGCTTGAATCTGAACTTAGCGCATCTAGAAGCGAGTGGTTCAATAATCCTACAAAAAAAATATTTTTCAAATGATTAATTACCAGCCAAGAGACTGTACAGTTCATAGGCTACATATATTTAGGGAAAGCATTCCTTTTCCAACAATAACATGCCAAATTCTTCACTTTATAGATCCACTCCTCCAGGAATTGATTTTTACAAGTTTTTCCATGGTAAACACTGATTTGAAGTAAGCCAGTATGACAATTATTGAATTGTACTGCAAAATCATGATGAATAGAAGAAGCGTAAATAAAGCACAAAAAGTAAATCATCAAAATTTACAGTTTTCAATCTATGAGTATATAGGGTGCGCAACACACACACACACACACAGGGGAGGGGGGGAGAGAGTGAGAGTCTGACTGGCTGACTCATTGGGTGACTGAGAGATAGGGAGAAGAAAATTTGCAACAGTTAAATGAAAAATATTTAAGGGAAGTAACCTGCTGATGTAATTACAAATGAAGAAAAATCTTGTAACTTTTGAGTATGTTTCCATAGTACGTCGTAGGGCATTCTGCAAACAAAATGGTCTCTTGCGTCATATTACAACAGATCATAAGTAATCAACAAAAGCTAACATTCTTGCCTGAGCATCTTCAGTCATTGAATCTGCCTCATCAAGGATTATGATCTTGTAAGGGGGACAAGGATAGCCTCTAAAGTACAGAACGCATTTAGTGGAAGACAACCAAATGAACATAAATAAGCTTAGAGTAAATCGAGTCATAAAACAAATCAGATTAAAATACATACAAATGCAACGGCAAAGAGAAAAAGAAATTATATGTACCCTTGACGACCAGAACCAACAGCAACTGCAGCAAAATCTTTTATTTTAGTTCGAACGACATTAATTCCACGGTCATCACTAGCATTTAGCTCCAATACTCTTGATTTATAGAGTTCAGGCCTGTGAATGAAGATGGTTGAGTTCAAAAAAAGACAGATGATAATTCAGGTCGTGATCATTTGGTACACAGAACCAACATTCTCAAGGAACCAAGCTGGTTAAAGTTTTTTTGACTAAATGTATCATATCAATGTGCTAATCAGAGGATAAAAAAAGCATCTACAAGTTTTCACATAAGGCGAAGGAATATCCCAGCAAAGACATAATTTGCCACATTTAAATTGGGATCATTAATTAGTTTAACAGCACATGGAACCTATTCTGCACAAAGAAAACTTAAAAAGGAAAGAAGGCCAAAACTTGACACTGTGGTTATGCTTCCATTGCATTTCATTGTAAACCATCCACAATATCAAAATACCTAATGACTTTATAGTAGATGGAAGAAAGGACATGTGCATTTCTAGAGAGGTGCATTTCTAGAGAGGTGCCTTTCCCCGGCCCCACTATCCCAACAGAGAAAAAAGGATAATACTTAAATTGCTACATTCACCACTGAACTCAGGTATAATTTGTAGAGGCAAATGTATTATCATTTTTTTCAAAAAACAACTAAATTCTCAAGTGTTAGAGCATTTCTAGTTATTCTACCCATGCGTGTGTCAACTACCAATCTTCATGCAAATACATGATTTACATGCTCATATGTTTATTGACAAGCTCAAAAGACACAGAGCAAAGTTAAAGCAGCACAAATACACGACAAGACAACTTCAATGAGCAATACACCGGGAGGCATGAACTCTCAACTTTTCCGGTCACTAAACATCACTTAGATTTTGGCATTTTCTTTTCATTCACTACTTAAAAGCCAATTGTTCTTAAAATCTAGATAAAACACAAATTACCTGCTAGTGTTGGACGCTTAGTTATTAATTTATTAACTACTTAAATTTCTCTTTTCTTTCGTGATCATCCTACACTTACTCAAATAGATATTATGAAAAAGATTTTTTTTTTTTTACCACCATAAATATTAGATACAAGTTTGAAGCAGCTGAAGACTTTCAACAGACATATATTACACTCATAATTTAGCTGGTCCAACATTCTCTAAGTTCACATCAGTGAGATCATTAGCAGCTACACATATATTAGCCACGCGACTCCAAAATCTGAAAGCGAAGAAACTAACACGTCAAGAAGATCAACGGTATCACCATTAGAAAGAAATGGAAGAAAATTAGATTTATATTATCTTCTTCATTTGTTACCATGGAAGAAAATTTCATACTTTTTTTCTGAAATTCAAGTCATTCACAATACATTTGCCTTGACTGATATAGTTTAAAACCAATCTCTCTCTCAATTTCTACAATTTCCTTGTTTCCACATTCAAATAGAATATCGCATAATTACAAGCAATTAAGCTGACAGAAAATCAAAATGAAATTTTTAAAAAGGACCAAAAAAAGGAAAAATTAAAAAAAAAAAAGGGATTTCAGCATGAGTAATTAGCTTCAAACCCGAAAAGTTGATGAGCAATGGCGAGGGCCGTGGTGGTTTTGCCAGTGCCGGGAGGTCCATAAAATAGCATATGAGGGCACTATATTAAAAAATTCAAAAAAAATTACAATATTATTTATGAAGCAACCAAAGAATATACTTTCAATCTAACCCTAAAAACAATGATAAAATGAAAAGGAATCAAAATTAGCTAATGAAATTGATTGAAATTTACATTGGCAGTCTCAAGAGTGTTGGTTAGGACTCGAACGACCTCGTCTTGGTGCGCTACATCCTTCACTTGCTTCGGTCGACTGCGTCAATTTATTACGAAAAATGTTACTCAAAAACAAAAAAAAAATAGAGCAAAATAAAGGTGTATCTACTGAGTGTGTGATTTTGTGCGTGTTTTGAGTGTGGAAGAGAGAGAAGAGAATTAGTTGTTACTATTTCTCAACCCAGGGCTGCGAGGTCTGCAGCAATGGCGCCATCTCTGTTTCTTCGTCTGTCAACAAAAGCTGGTTCTTATTTTCCCGCTTCAACAAGGTCTACACTCTTGTCTACTGTGCCTATTTAAGTTCTCCTTTAGATTGCTGTTTGGGAAAATGGTCAAATTCGTCCCTAAACTTTTTTTTAATGTCGATTTAATCCCTAATTTTTGTTTTCGGCCAATTTGATCCCTAAACTTATATTATGGTTTCAATTAAGGATTTTTACGACGGCACAACCAGAAAAATCGATCAAACTCCTTATTAACCAATTAAACAGAGGTATTTTAGGAACATTAGATATCTCCTCCCTCTATCATTAATCTCCACCGCTTGCCACCCATCTCCTCTTCTTTCATCCCACCTCTCTTTTCCTCCCTCTCTCATGTCAGTAATTATGCCTGCCATTCCTAGTGTTTGCCTGGTCCTAACGAACAATTTGCCTGGTTCATATTCAATCCATTGCGGCATGACTTCTTCACGCTTTATTCATCACCGAACAATTAAAAGTTTTGAAATCCCATTTACCGACCTTCTCTTCGGGGGATTGGGGATTGTGGGAAGTGGGAACCATTTGCCATCAAGTTAGCTTAAGTCGTTGGTTAAGCAGCAAAATTCCATCTTGAAGGAATCCAATCGCAATAACTGGTTTTTCTCGTCTCAGAATGATCAAACGGGGAAACAAATGATGATTAAGGAAAAGAATGGATAAATGTAATCCAACCATGTGTCCATTTAGATAATAGGATTTGAAGGAAAGATCTAATGAACGAGCTAATTGGAAACACAGAACTCAAATAAGAGTTCTCCTTTTTTTTTGTTATTACTTTGGCAAAAGAAGAAATTGCCACAAAACACTTGCGTACAGTTTTGGGACAAAGTGCGCCTGCCGGAACAAACTACCCCCCCCCCCCCAAACACAAAAAAAAAAAAAAAAAAAACCCAAAAACTCCCAATTCTAATTACTCCTCCGAAAATATTACCAACCAAAAGAAAAAACGGGGGAAAAAATGAGAGTAAAAGTAAAGTAGCAGCTGCTGCTCCACGTACCAGTAGAAAAAGGGCCTGAAAAATCAGCTAAGCATCAGATCCAGGAGAGTGATACTGGTGACTTTCTTATCGCAAGATTTTTTTAAATTAATTGCCTGGCCCGCTATTTAGCAATCGGATCCAACTAAGAAGCTGACTTGTTTCTCTTTGTTATGATTTTTTTTTTTTTGTCTTTTTCCCTCGCTAAGACCAGGCAAACACTAGGAATGGTTTTTTTCCCTCGCTTGCCTGCCACCCATCTCCTCCTTCTCTCAGTCCACCTCTCTTTCCCCTCCCTCTATCACGTCAGTAATCACCAGGCTAAGAACAGGCAAACAATAGAGGGAGGGAAAAGAGAAGAATGCGGGTGGGAAAAGAAAGGTGGGGTGAGAGAAGAAGGAGGAGATGGGTGGCAGACAGTGGAGGCTGATAATAGAGGGAGGAGGTATCTAAAGTTCCTAAAATACTCATGTTTAATTGGTTAATAAGGAGTTTGATCGATTTTTCTGGTTGTGCCACCGTAAAAATCCTTAATTGAAACCATAATATAAGTTTAGGGATCAAATTGGCAGAAAACAAAAATTAGAGATTATATTGACATTAAAAAAAAGTTTAGGGACGAATTTGGCCATTTTCCCTTACTGTTTTTTAAAGTTTTTGTAAAAACGTACTCCCTCCCTTTTTTTATAAATGACGTTTAAGGTTTTGCACATCAATTAAGAAAAGTTTTTCATTGCTTAAATTTGTACACTACTTTCCTTTTGTACTCTCATTAATTGTCCAATTCATCCATATTTTTTCTCACTAGAGTACTAAATGGTACTGTTTTACTAGGCCAAAAGCAATGCAAACTAACTCCCACCAAACTAGGAGTAGTAATTAAGAACCCTGTATTGGAAAAGAGAGATAAAAAAATAAAATTGTGAAAAAATAATTTATACTGTATGGGGATAATAAAACGACAGATAAAAGTACACTAGAGCAAATTTCTTAAACGTCAGTTATAAAAAAAAGGAGGGAGTATAATACATCGATTTAATATATATATAATAAAAAAATTATTAAAAAATTGTGTTCATAAAAAAGGATTTCTATAAGAACTGAAGTTTGAATTCAAGTACTAAAATCCTATGTAATAATTCAATTCAACATTTAAATTTAAAATGCGCATGATAAAATTGAAATTTGAAATTTAACGTCTGAATCTATTAAGTTTTTAATTGTTAAATATTAAATCTGATATATTTGAATATATTCATATTAAATAATAAGTGAATAATTTATCACTTATTTTTTAAAATTAAGTTTTGTTTAAAAAATTCAATAACACTTAATTTGATCCCCTTTTAATTCAACGGACTGCTAGGCTGATTTTAATTTAAACCTGGATCGTGATCACTTCTAGTTGTAGCCTACTTGTAGGCTTTTTTTTTTTTGCTTTGCTTTGTTTTGTTTATTTGTTTCCTCCATCTTTTCCCCTCAATTTTCAATTGAGCATTGATACTCCTCACAGTTGCAAACATCAATTCCATTGCCAACTTTAGAAAATTTCACATGTTTCTTGCAAGTATTTGCTTGTCTTGGAACTCTTAAGCAAAGATGTCTTGATTATGTTATGCAGCTCAGGCCCCAAGCAAGTGTAAAAACATGAAGAAAATTTTACATTAATTTTTTTAGGACGCATTACTTAACAGGCAAATAGTCAATTTCCTTTTCATTAAAATAGTGAGATATTTTATTTTGCTTTGTTTTCAAATGTGTAATTCATCGATAATTTTTTTTTAAAGACTTTTTTTCAATTTCCAAATTCACATTGTTACTCCAAGAGTTTGGAAACAGGTATATTTCAAAATAAACACGACTCCCTGTCCTATACTCGTTTCCTTTTGTTTTTTTTTCCTCTCCTTTTATTAGTTTCCTCCCTCCTTTTCTTGTCCTTTTTCTCCTGCATATATAATCTCTTCCTTAATCATCTAACCCTATTCCCCTGCCCTTTCTCTCTCTGCATCCACTGCTTTCTCATACAATTAATTAAAGGTATGCTTCCTCTCCGGGATTAATTGGTTATACATTTTGCTGTGTAGATCATGTATATGTATGCTGAAGAAATCCATGTCTTTGTAACTTTTTGTCCTTGCTGTACAGACACAAGAAGTAATATTATTAATTGTGTTTGGATAGCCAAATAATGATCAGAAATTATTTGCTTACATCACAAATATAATTTTCAATACATCTTTTTATCTTTCCAATTACCTTTTTATCTCACATACATCACATCACAAAAAGTGCTACAGTAATTATTCCAAATAATATTTCAAATAATCTCCTATCCAAACACCGAAAATTGAGCTTTTGTTTAGAAGAAGATTAACATTTACAGTTGAAATGCTAGAAGAAAAAAATGAAGTAAACGTCATAATTATTTTGTTATGGAACAAAATAATTACAAGTTGTAACTTGTAAACCCTTGATCCAACCATTTTCTAGATATAAAAACAACTAGTATCCAAATCCTTACTACCGTCAGATTTTATTTTAATTTTTTGTATGTATGTTTATAACAAAGGATTATTAAGCACCCTATTTTCGTCCAATTCAATTGTTGTTGTGTTTGGATTTTTCAAAACACCCTAATTTGTTATTTATTACCTTAGTTTTTTTTTTTTTTTGGAAATAGTGGTGTCAAAACATTCTCTGATTCTCAGACAAAATTTCCAAAAATTTGGAGGAAGGGAGGTAGTTGTTAACAATTTCATGGAGGAGTCCACGTAATGAACCGCAGACCTGATGTAGTGGTTATATGCGGTGAGCGTGGATCGAACACGCGACCTTCAGATCTTCAGTCTGACGCTCTCCCAACTGAGCTATCCCCGCGATGGTGCTGAAGGAGTTTTCAAAGACTATTGAAACAAAAATACTATCAAAATCTCTGTTTCCCCAATTTCATAGAGGAGTCCAGATAATGCACAAAAGGATCCATCCGGTAAAGGGTTAGATTCCGACACGATGAAGTAGTTAAAATGCGGTGAGCGTGGATCGAACACGCGACCTTCAGATCTTCAGTCTGACGCTCTCCCAACTGAGCTATCCCCGCTATGATGCTAAAGAGGTTTTGTAAAATTCTACCCTCAGTCTTTGTTTACAGCGCAAGACCCTCTCCCTGTCCCAAGTCCCAACAAAAAGACTATTGAAACAGCTTGGACCTGGTGCTGCAGCACAGCAGCATTTATAAAAAATCTCTCTGTTTCTTGTGGTGATTGGAAGCAATGAATGCTTTCGCCTATTTCGAGTCTTTTAAACCAACAGAAAAGTTATACATGAAGGTTACTCCAGATCAGTATGTTGATCAGATGATTCCCACACTCCAAAGGATTGTTGAAGGTACATCATCCACACCGACTTGTTGGTTTCCATACAGCAAATTCATCCACTGCATTCTGCATTTGCTCGGTACGAGGAGATAATAAAGTTAGACGCACTTAAAGTAGAAAATATACAGCTTAAAGTTAGATACACAAACTCATCCAACACGAGATCGATGCTCTTTTTATGACTCCCTCGAATACTCCTAGCATGATTGGATGCAGTTGATTTACCCATCCCAAACCCACAATTATAAGAACTTGTTCACTGGTTATGACATCAATGTCTAAGATGCTATGGACGTCCCATCACTTTCTTAAATTGAGAGAAAGTAGCAACAAAGTTGATCAATTCTCTGAGGAACACAGGAAAGCATTATAATTGGAACATACCAGCAAGAAGTGCACAACCTAGACCTTCAAATAGACGGATAAAAATCAAGAAAACGTTAGTTAAGTGTTTGAGGTGAGCCATCAACTAGAATATGAGAAATAGATTGACCTTATTCCTGGAAGAATTCTTCAGAACTTTGGAAAGAATTTATATTCAGAAGCCAAGCCAAGCAATAATTTCGTACCCATACAAAAACACTCTCTATATCTTCAATATCATTCTCTTTATTGTCTGGATTCACACACTGAAGGTTGTAACTCAATCACTATAGATAACATTCAGAATTTGAATACACAAGTCACTATAGTAAACAGCTATTGCCAAATAGCTCAGTCAAATGAGTCCAGATAAAAACCTGCAAGCATGCTCAGTGATTAAAAAGCATATTTCAGCAATGTAAAAAGCACATAAAACACACAAGAAACTGTAGGGTTTTACATTTCTTTAGCGTGTTTGGAAGATCAATTTGCTCCATCACAAAATAACTGTGTGAGTTTGACTAGGGAGAGTGTTAATTAAGAGTTGAAAACATTTAAAAGAAACAAACAATGATCAAGAAGTTGCATGCCTAGAAGGATGTAAAAACTCAGTCATGGAACTCCGGAAGAAAGTAAAAACAAAACAAGGTACTTCTGAGAATCTATATATGACTATATGAGCACTCTCAGTCTCAGCCAAACCCACGAGGGGATCCATCCAGTAAAGGGTTAGATCCTGACTCGATGAAGTAGTAAAAATGCGGTGAGCGTGGATCGAACACGCGACCTTCAGATCTTCAGTCTGACGCTCTCCCAACTGAGCTATCCCCGCGACGATGCTGAAGAAGTTATGTAAATGTCTACTGTCAGTCTCTTCTGTGAGGAATATCCTTTACGGACTGCAGTGTTTACCGCAAGGGGGCCATCTGCATTACATAGTCGCAAAGCATGTAAACCTTCAACTCTGGGGGTTAAATTCTTTAGCACCATTTCATCAAAAGATTTCATTCAAATCTCATTTTCCATCACTTCAAATAAATAGCAACTCCAATAGCACTGGTTTGGTGCTGCTTCAAAATAGAAGGATACAGCATCAAAACGCTTGTTCAGTTTCTTGATATCCAGTATGAAATTATGAAATAGAAGGACCTCACTTTGAATGTCCATCATGGAGTCCAATACTCAGATTTTTCTTTACTTCGAGACATTTGGCAAATATATGGGAATATGAGTCCTCTCCCTTAACCACCAAACTAGTTCTATCTCAACTAGTTCAATAATGGAGATTATTGGACTCATGTTTCCAAAACCTAAAGTGAGGATGAGATGTGCAAATATCCATAGCTCTAGCATTATTTGATAAGCGTGAAATTGATAAATGTATTATTTCATCGAAGAATATGAACTGTGGAGTGGTGAAATATTACAATTTGTATTGGATATGAGACTTGCAATGAGGAACATAACATATATTATATATAAGATTAAATCTTTTCTATATTAACATTATATATTCCACGTTGACACGGGTAAAATTTGATATTCAAATTCAAGATGAAACTATTAACGTATACACTGTCATGTGTAACAAAAATTAATTCTTAAATATCACTCGTTACGCTAGAGAAAAATTTTGTGCTATTGTTTAGCTAACTACTACAATACTCTAATTTCGTAAACTTTCAAAAAAGTTGATGAATAGATGGATCTGTTGGTCGGATTTGTGAACTCAATATCTAGCTAATTAAACGGTCTAACTGTATGGGCAATGTTTAATAACTAAGGTTCCGTTTGATAAAACTGAATCTGAATTCTGAAATCTGAATACTGAAACAATTAATTTGCTAAATTTTAAGCGCTGAAAAAAAATGTGAATGTCTGAATTTTAATGCTAAACCTATTTATACTGTTTGATAAATATTTGTAGCTAAATGCTTAATAAGTTTAATTTGATAATTTTGCCCTTATATCCTTTCATTCAAAAAAGAAATAGAATCTATGATTTAATTAGTTTAAAATTGTTAGGTATGAAAATGACAATATTTATTTTTAAATCAAATTAATATAAAAGATGAAATATATTATATGAGGAGTATGGAGAAGATATGAAAGTCATTAAAAAGGGAGAAAAGAGAAACTATAAATCGTTAGATAGAGAATATTAGGTTGCTTAATTAGATAAGAATTTTGAACATAATTAACAAACAAGGGTAGATTTGGTAGATAAGATAAGGTAGTTGAAGTAATTCTATTGATTCTTATCAGAATTAAGCATTCAGTTAGGATTCTTGTGTTGAAAAAAATACACATAGGTTCAGCACTGCTTAACAAGTTTAGCAAATAGATTTTCATTTATCAAACACTCAAAACATCTGAATGTTTGAAAAAATTCAAATTCAACACTTTTTTATGTTATCAAACAGACCCTAAATTTGGTTTGCTAACCATCTCTGTTCATCTTCCCTCACCTCCCCCCCCCCCCCAAAACACAAAAAAAAAAAAAAAAAAAAACCCCACCCTCTCTCTCCTCCATGCCATCCAATTATTCAATTGCCAAACCTGAGTCTCACCCTAGTGCTGCGTAAAGAAAATAAAAGTAGACAGTCCACAAATCCATTCTGAATTTGGATTCAAGAAAATAAAATTACTACCAAACTTTCATTTGCTTTTTATTACGAATTTAGGTAATTATTATCAAAGTGATTATCGTAATTCAAATCAATATTGTTTTACCAGTACAAAATTTTAACTCACTTAAGTTTAAGTAGCTCTTAGGGGAAAAAAATTCCCTTTGAGAAACAGTTGTACAGACTTTCTAGTAAATCTATCCAACTTTCACTTCATTATTTGTGGTCAACATTCTATCCAACCACATTCGGTAGATGTTAACTAGGAAACACCAGTTATTATTTCGTACGTTTTTAGCTAGTTAATTATTTCCTTTTCTATCCAAAAAAGGGAAAATAGTTAATTATTTTGTTTTATATCGGACAAAAAAGAAAAAAAAAAGGAAGTTTGTCGACAAAATAAGAGAATTTCCTATGTTCCCAAATAACAAATCCTAACGCAACCTGATAACCCTATACATATGATAAAGAATTAAGGATAGATTTTCTTCATAAATCAGAATCCGAATTGTATAAGGATTTCCAATTCTCCAAATACAAAACCAAACTCAGCCCGATTAAAGCACTTAAATTTTTCATCAGGAGCCGATCAAAGAATTACGATGACTGCTGTAGTTTGTCGAAAGAGATCTTTCTTGGAAGATATTCAATCGCCGTCTCCCCTGCCCATCACCAAGAAGCTCCGCTGCTTTTCCCTGCCTCATCCCGTTCAGGTTTCACCGCAGCAGCAGCGGCCAACCTCGCCAACCCTTCTTGATCGGCTGATAATTGCTTTTCCTGACATGGATCGTGAGCTTCTTGAGAAAGCAGTGGAAGAATGCGGCAGTAGCGACTTGGATTCCACTATTAAAAAGCTGCATGAGCTTCGCCTTGGATGTCAAGCAACCATGTCGAGAGATGTTTGCACGGCGAGCAATATTCTTCCGGTCGATGGAGCGGGATGGGTGGAACTGTTGGTGCAGGAGATGATGAAAGCTACGAGCATAGAGGATGCCAGATCCCGTGCCACGAAGGTCTTGGAGAGCTTAGAGAAATCCATCAGTGCCCGTGTCCGAGCCGATGCAGCAGAGGTTTTTGACAAGGAACAGATTTCGATGAAGGAGAAAATTCAAGGGATTGTGAAAGAGAATGGGATTCTGAAAAGGGCTGTGGCCATCCAGCATGAAAGGCAGAAGGATTACGATGGAAGAAATCAAGAAGTGTAGCAGCTGAAGCAACTGGTGGCTCAGTATCAAGAACAGTTGAGAAGTCTTGAGGCGAAGAATTATGCCTTGAGAATGTACCAGCGCCAGGCTGATCACCAAGGCAACTCTATGATCCCTGATCACTTTAATCCGGATGTCTTTTAAGTTCATATTGTGAAGGAGTTATTGAGTTTCTCTCAATTGATTCAATGTTTTGATCTTTCAAGAAAAAAGTAAACAATGACAATAATTGTACTATTTGTTTTATTTTTGGCATACAGTAAAAGAGTGATTTGAAAAAGTCCTGTGATAATTAATGCGGGACGGATCTTCTATCCCACACCCTGTGTCACATCCTGTCCCACTCTTTAGAATCTCGCCAAGTGTCCCTTAATAAACCAAACCCTCAAACAACCCAACTCGGACCATATTAAATTAATTAATTGATTAACCGGACAGAAAACTTAAACCCATTCATTCTCTATAACCAAACCGATTAAAATAAAAACTCTTTAACCAAAATCACAATTTATCAAGAAAAAAACCCTAAAACCCAAACAACCTCTGTCCTCTTCTCATCATCTTCACCATTCTTTATAACCAAACCGATTAAAATCAAATTGAAGAAAAAAGATACAATGGCGAAGCAGGAGCAGCAGCAATGGAATGCTTGTAGTAATGGTAGTGAGGGAGCGATTGATAGTAGCAGTTGTATTAGTAGAAACAGCAGCAATGGCAATAGCAATAGCAATGGGGGTTTGCAATTGCAGTCTTTTTTCAAATCCATATTTTCCAAGACTAACGACGAAAACAGTTTCAGAGAACGGAGGAGTAAGAGCTTCTTTGTCAAAAGAGACGGTGGTCATTCCGATGACTATGGAAACAACGACGACGGTTCCGCATGGGCTAAGCTGCCCGTTCCTCATCTTTCTCCTCCCGCTCGTTCCGTGATCTCCCGTTGTTCCAAGTAATCAATTGGATTAATTTCTTTTTCTACTCTCTTTCTCTGACAAGCATTTTTTCATACATTTGACGGTCATATAAATCTGCATTCGCCTTTTATTTGTATAATGGCCTAAATGTATTTGTGATTATTATTATCATTATTAAGTAGGAAATTAATGTACCCTGATTTTGCGTATACTCTATTGAATTTAAGGCCAAAAAGTTTCTGCAAATGTAAACAAGGAAATAGCTGAGCTCTGCAGCGAGCAATTGTGTGATATCATTAAAAGAAATTTCATCATTTTGTTAGCAAAGACACTTTGTCTTGTATAGTTGTTTTAACGTGTGTGTGTGTGTGTGTTTGTGCGTGTTTGTGTTAATCAATACGAAGAAACAATTGACCAAACAATATTCTTGACAGATGCTGATTGCTTAGTAGCTATATAAGTAGCCATTTTGAGATTAAAGTTCAATATCAATGCATTAGACCAACTCTGAACTCATATAGATTATTCTATTCTTGTTCTTGAATATTTCAGGCTTCCAGAGCAGAATTTCGGCCAAAGAATAAATTACTGATACTGGAAAAAAAAAGAAAAATATTTTCATTTCTTGAATTTGTTCTGCGTTGTGGAAAGTCGTCAGATTGGTCATTGGCAAAATCACATGAAATTGATTCTGAGTCTTTGAATCAAGATGGCTGCTTGGGAAGGTCAAGATCTCTTGCAAGGCTTAATGCCCAGAAGGAATTCTTGAGGGCAACTGCTCTTTTGTCTGATAGGACATTTTGCACTGAAGAATCCATTCCTGAAGCCTTCAATAAGTTCTTGACTTTGTACCCAAAGTTCCAATGTTCAGAAACAATTGACCAATTGAGACTTGACTTTGTACGGGTTGTTTTCTTATTTTCAAACGCTACATTATTGGGATTCATCTGCATTTCGCTTAAAGGAAATTACTGCAAAGCTAAAGCCTGTGCAACAACCGCAAATTGAAAGACAAAACCAACTTTACAATCTTAATTCTTCATCACAAAATGCTGTATCTCTCACCTGAAACTATCAATTAAGCATACCCTTTTAACTCATAAAGCTTAGGCTTTGGTGTTATGTATCTTGATAAGAAGGGCAGAAACAAAGCATTGGGAAGTACCAAATAGCATAAAGGAACCAAACTGTAGCCAAAGAAATAGATAAATGCTTATTTAGAGTCAATTGGACACTTTCTCAAGTTGAACAGATTCACTAATGCCACAAAGAGGCCTATTCTTCACAAGAGCAATAACTTCATCCACTTAACCGCTTGTATCAAGCTCTCCTAAAAGCTACGGCATCTTTGAATGGTAGCAGTGAAAAACTAGAGCTAATTGAAAGAAAACTCTACTTGTAGTTCATCTCTTTCCAGATGTACAAATGTAAGATTCAAGATCTTTTTTAGGCCAGAATTAAGCCGTAAGTCATCTCAAACTCAAACCTGTCAACATCTAATCTCTTTCAAGGCTAGAAAAATTGAGAACCAATTTGAACATATTAAATTAGTTGATGAATCAAAAATATAGAAAGATCTGTTGAGCTTGGAGGTCAATCAAAGGATTGTCATTTATCAACAACAGTAAGAAACAAATTTTTCTAATGTCTGAGAAAATGTAGCAACCAATTTAAATCTGCTTCTGCTTATCCAAGCCCAAAAGCAATTGACAAAGTCAATAATTTCAACAGACTCCAAACTCAGAAACACATGGTGGAATTGAAGGATCAAATGATACCTACCAGTTCTTTTATACATTCCATACAACACAAAGCTAGCATACACAAAAAGTTGAAAGATACAAAACATTAAGATATCTCCATGAGGATCAAATGATACCTACCAGTTTTTTAATACATTCCATACAACAAAAGGCTAGTATAAACAAAAAGCTTTGGAGTGTTTCATATATAAAAAGTCATAAGAAAAAAATTACCTTAATGATCTTCACTTACAGGAATTATCTATAGATATTCAGAAATTTGATGAAGCTCTTAAGAAAATTTTTAAGTTTTTCATTTGTTTAATAATAGGCACTCAATTATCTTGTGTTGTGTTAGGTTTACCTGTTGTTTGGTTCCAGGACAAAATATCAATTCCCTTATATTACTTGATGCTTATTATTGCTTTTTGTTTTATGGTCTCTCTGGGAAATATAGACTAAACAAAAAGGGCCAAACTAGCTTGGAGTGTTTCTTACTCCTCGGTTCTCTGAAGCTGTTTTCGTCGTTAGTCTTGGAAAATATGGATTTGAAAAAAGACTGCAATTGTAAACCCCCATTGCTATTGCTATTGCCATTGCTGCTGTTTCTGCTAATACAACTGCTATTATCAATCGCTCCCCCACTACCATTACTACAAGCATTCCATTGCTGCTGCTCCTGCTTCGCCATTGTATCTTTTTTCTTCAATTTGATTTTAATCGGTTTGGTTATAGAGAATGGTGAAGATGATGAAGAGAGGACAGAGGTTGTTTGGGTTTTAGGATTTTTTTTCTTGATAAATTGTGATTTTGGTTAAAGAGTATTTATTTTAATCGGTTTGGTTATAGAGAATGAATGGGTTTAAGTTTTTTGTCCGGTTAATCGATTAATTAATTTAATATGGTCCGAATTGGGTTGTTTGAGGGTTTGGTTTATTAAGGGACACTTGGCGAGATTCTAAGGAGTGAGACAGGATGTGACACAGGGTGTGGGACAGAAGATCCGTTCCGTAATTAATGTACATGATAATTTGACTGTTATATGCCTCCAAGGACAGGCTCAAAATTTGAATCACGTCCTTCAAAACTTTGGTTGCAGCGGAATCATGTGTGTGAAATCACAGTGGAAAACACACGCTTTTTTGCCACCCAAATCCCTCTAACCTGTAACGTTTTCATAGATTCCATTTGTTTTGTGCAAGATTGATATAATCTATTTGCACGAAGGTTTAGATGCTTAACTATTAGATACAGCACACATACAAGTATATTAAATATAGAATTAATATTTTATACGCTGACGGTGTATACATTTTCATCATTGGATGCATGACACATAATCCGAATTTGAATTTGAAACCCAAATTTTGTACACGTGTCATGTATCCAACCGTGATAATGTATACACTGTCAGTTTATATAAGATCTATTCATAAATATATTTAACATAATTTTTCTCATAAATTCAAATATAATTATTCGAGTTTTTGTCTTTTGCACAAAATACAAATACGTTACCTAACATCTAGACGCTGCATTTTTTGTTTGTATGCAAATTTTAGGACAAAAGAGTAATGATGTGTCTATTTCAAGTTAACTGGCAAGTCACAAGGCATGGTATACTATTCACTATGACCTAACTAGCAAGGGCTATTAGAAAAATATAAGAAGAGGGAGGGATAGCATGATATTTTCTTATACTCTCAAAGATAAATTTTATATTGTTTGGATAGGGTATTATTTGAAATATTATTTGGAATAATTACTGTAACACTTTTTGTGATGTGATGTATGTGAGATAAAAAGGTGGTTGGAAATATAAAAAAGTGGGTTAGAAAATGTGTTTATGATGCAAGCGAAATATTATTTGAGATAATAGTACTATCCAAACACTGCATTTCGTGAATACATTTTTCAATTGTTTTTTTACTTCATATATATCAAATCACTATAATAATTTTTCTACAAAAAATCCACAATAATGCAATCCAAACAAGACTATTTTCCCCTAAATTACTGGCAAATGAGACATAGAAGGTTAGTAGTTCAATTTGAATGCAGCTAATTCAAAAGCCTTATTGTCTTGTTTCCTTTTTTCCTTCTTTAATGTGGAACACAATGGCAAGATTTATTTTTGCTCCTTTAATCTAATTAAGTTTGTAAGTACTGATGAACCTGGAGTTGAATATCTTATATACTTGGCAAAATAATTGTTTGGATAGAGTATTATTTGAAATATTATTTAGAATAATTACTGTAGCACTTTTTATGATGTGATGTATGTGAGATAAAAAGGTAATTGAGAATATAAAAATGTGGATTGAAAAATGTGTTTATGATGCAAGCA